TCAAAGAACACAAGAATAGCCATAGATGAGCAACACCAGCAGATTAATCGGAAAGACATTACCAAGACAAACAAAAGCCTATACTTAATAAATTCAGACAAACCCCCCTCCTAATAGCTAGAGCAACCCCAGTTGCAAAAATATGGAAGTTTTCTCTTTCTCCAACTTCAAACTGTACATTAAAGTGGTAGCAATCAAAACTGTGATACTGGAATAAAGACATTCTCTCAGGCCAATGGAAGAGAACTGAGGATGAGGAACAGAAAGATTCTCAGATATATAATCAATTAACCTTTGCTAAAAGAGCAAAAAGTGTGAAGTGGCAAAAGGAAATCCTCTTCAATAAATGGTATTAGGATAATTGGCCAGTCACATGCAAAAGAATTAAAGCACCCCCAATTTAACACCACACAGAAAACTCAAATCAAAATGGATAAAGATCTCAATAACAGTCCTGAAACCATAAATTATAACGAGGAAAACATAAGTAGAACACTCCGTGATTGGCCAGAGAGATAAGGTACTTGCTTTGCACACAGTCAACCTCAATTCCATCCCTAGCACTCCATATGGTTTCCTAAGTCCTGCCAAGAGTCATCCCTAAGCACTGCCAGGTATGGCCCAAAAACAAAGAAATAACAATAAACAAGTAACACTCCAGACACTGATGCTAGAGATATCTTTAATGATTTAATGCCATTAGCCAAGCCAAGGTAAACAAAGATGCCGGGACCTTGCAAAGGACCAACCCTGGTTCAATCCCTGGCACCCTGAATGGTCCCCCAAATCCATCCAGGAGTGATCCCTGAGCACACAGCCAGGAGTAAGCCCTGAACACTGCCAAAGCAAGAAGAAAAAAAAAAAGACAATTATCTTGCTTCACAAAGAAACAAAAAAGATCAATGAACATTACAGGAAAGAAAAACAACAAAGCTTTATTAGAAAACTGAGAGGAAGGGATAATGAGCAGAAACTTCTTCAAAAAAGATAAACAGATGGGGCTGGAGCGATAGCACAGCGGGGAGGGCATTTGCCTTGCACACAGCCAACATGGCCGATATAGGTTCGATTCCCAGCATCCCATATGGTCCCCCGAGCACCGCCAGGAGTGATTCCTGAGTGCATGAGCCAGGAGTAACCCCTGAGCATCGCCGGGTGTGACCCAAAAACCAAAAAAAAAAAAAAAAAAAAAAGATAAACAGATAGCCAAAAGGTATATGAAAAAAATGCTCTACTCACTAACCAGGTAAATGCAAATCAAAATGAGCTATCATCTCACACCAGCGAGACTGGCACACACACAAAGAATGAAAACAACCAGTGTTTATTGAGGGTATGGGGCAAAAAGAAACCTTCATTCTCTACTGGTGGGAATATTGACTGGTCCAGTCTTTTTGGAAAACAACACAGACACGTCTCCAGAAACTAGGTATCAAGCTATTAACTCCAATTCCAACAACTCCCGAAACTCTATTTGGATAAGACATTTGCTCTCCTATGTTCATTCCAAGCACTACTCACAATAGCCAAAATCTGGAAACAAATCAAGTGTTCAAGAACAGATGACTGAATAAAGAAACTATGGTACATACACACACTGAACTACTCAGCTATAAGGAAAGATGAAATCATGCAATCTGCTGCTACATGGATGGATCTGGAAAATATCATGCTAAGCGAAATTAGCCAGAAGAAGAGGGACAAGAATAATCTCTCGAGTGGACTCTAAAGAAACAAAGTAGAGGCACAGCAAATGCTCCAAGGCAGCAGAAACTGAGAACTAGTCTTTAGTAGGAAGTTTACCACAGGGAAGGGACCTGAGTGGGGGATTAAGACTGGGATGGGGGTTGGGGCAGAGGACACTGAGACAATGCTAGAGGGAAGTGAACACTCTAGGGGAGGGTGTGGTGATAGATTGCTATGCATAAAACCCTATCATTAGTAGTATTGTGAACCACTAGGCCTAAAATTTTAAAAAATTTTTAAATTTTAATTCAGAACTTCACTCAGTACTCCAAAGGATTAAAAAAAAATTGGGGAATCAGAGATACAGTATAGCAATAAGGTCTTGCATGCATCGAACCTGGATCAGATTCCCAGCACTGCATACGGTCCCCCATGCCCCACCAGAAATGACCCCTGAGCTCTGAGTCAAGAGTAAGCACTGAGTACCTTCAGGTGTGGCCCCAAAACAAAAAAGTTTAAGAAACAGCTAGGCATCATCCACAAGTATAATCAAAAGAAAATGAAATAGTTAAGATGAAAAAGAAATCTGATGTTTATTAAACTGAGAGCCAATCCAACTGCTTAACTTCCAAATCATTTCAACATCCAATTTCAAGTTAATGTTATTTTTCCAATATAAGTACTATTTTATTGATTATAAACACAAAGCTTAAAACACTTTTACAGATGTTAAGGGACAAAAATGTCCACATCAATTCACTGATATGTAAAAACAAATTTCACTTCAAGATATTTTAACAACGCTACAGTAAGAGATCTGGTTAATTTTCTGCAAATTGGACACTAATATTGGTTACATTCTCATTCCCTTTCTAAAAGGATAAGCAGAGCAGTTGAGACAGCACAGGGGTTAAGGTTCTTACCTTACACAAAGAAATCTGGAGCCTGATCTCAGGCACAGGCAAGGCTCCAAGGCCCACCAGGAGTGAGTCCCTAAACACAGCCCTGAGTGTGGTCCCTCTTCCACCCACCAAAATCAGTGGGGAGAAAAGCCCCAAAACTCAAATCAGACAAGAACCAGATAAGCATGAATACTCCAGTTCTACAACTATTGGCTTTTAACTAATCCTATTGAGGAAGACAAGAGAGATAGTACAGTGGCCTTGCACTCGGCAGGCCAGGATTCGATCCCAGATAGTCCCTTGAGCACTACCAGGAGTGATAACCTGAGGGCAGAGCTAGGAGTAAGCCCTGACCACCACTGGGTGCGGGCCAAGACTCCCCCAAAAAATAGCTTACCCTACTGAACAGGGGCAAATGTTCAAGAATGACTTTCCTATCTTACAACATATATTAACATGCAAAAACAAGTCTCACATGTGTGAGCCTAATACATTTTGCATACTGTTAATGCTAAATATCAACCTTCCATACCGAAAGAGTGAGTAGGGGGAGGTAGGCGGGGAGAGCGCACCCCACTACCACACACACACACAGACACACACGATATTGCAGCAGGTAAGGCGCTTGCCCTGCGCGCAGCCCAGTCGGGTTCTATCCCTGGAAGCCCGTAAGGTCCCGATGCCACCAGGAATAATCTGTGAGCCCAGAGCCTGGACTAAGTCCCAAGCACCGTTGCCGGGAAGGGCCTCCCCCCTCACCCGCCACACACACACACACACACACACACACACACACATACTCCATACAAAAACAGTAGACTGGTCCTTAGGAACTTTGCGGACAGTGATAACACACACACACACACACACACACACACACACACACTCCAAACAAAAACAGTAGACTGGTCCTTAGGAACTTTGCGGACAGTGATAACACACACACACACACACACACACACACACACACACTCCAAACAAAAACAGTAGACTGGTCCTTAGGAACTTTGCGGACAGTGATAACACACACACACACACACACACACACACACACACACACTCCAAACAAAAACAGTAGACTGGTCCTTAGGAACTTTGCGGACAGTGATAACCTGCTTTAAAGCCACAATGATAAAAGCCACTCGGACCGATCAACAGCCGACCCGCTTGGCCCAGAGCAAATCAGAAGTCACTGAGCAAACACAACGGGCCCAACACGGCTCTCCCCTGACATACTGAAACACACACACACACACACACACACACACACGGCACAGTCTGTTGCTGCACGGTCGCGCGTTCGCCCCCTTGGTCCAGCTTGGTCCAGCCCCTCACACACACAGACACAGACACACACAGACACACAGACACACACACACACGACACGGTCCGGCGCTGCGCTGCACGGCCGCGCGTTCGCCCCCTCGGTCCAGGCTCGGCGGGAAGCACCACCAACCTGAGGAAACCCAGACGACGAAACCTGGAGTGAGGAAGGGGGAGAGCACGGAGGCCGAGCGTCAAGCCAGAGAGGGCGTGGGGGGCGAGGGGGGCGACACGCTCCACTCCGGACACCAGCCCGAGCGCGCACTCGAACCCCGGCTCTCGGTCCCGACCCGCAGGAGAGCGCCGGCTCGCGGGGGGCGGCACGGGGAAAGGGGGCGTCCCGACGGCGCGTTCCGCGGGGGCCCACCCCCACCCCGGAGCCCGCGGCGGCGCCTGTCAACGCGGCCGGCCGCCGCCCCGCGCGCCTGTCACCAGCCGGGGGCACTGCCCGCCGGGGCTCGGGCCGGACACCCGCGTCTCCTCCGCGACGCCGGGGGCAGCGCCCGAGCCCCCGCGAGGCCCCCCGGGGGCAGAGGCCGCGACCCGCCTCCAGATCCCCGCGCCGCGCCGCGGGACGGCACTCGGGGGCCGCGGGCTCCTCGCGCCCCGCCGCCCGCGGGACGGCCAGTCGGGGCCGGTCGCCCGGCGCCGAGCTACTAGGCCCGTCCCCGCGACGGGACGGGATGCCCCGGCGGGGGTCCCGCGGGGAGAGGAAGGGCGGACCGGCGGGCGCCCCGCAGCCGGAAGGGGCGAGCCCGCGGGCCGGGGCCCCCACCCCGGCGGGGCTCACCTTCAGGTCGTTTTCTGGCAGGTACTTGCACAGCCGCGCTATCTCCACATACTTGTCCAAGTCCAGGGGCGCCATTTTAGAAATAACAAGCCCCGACGGCGGCGGCGGCGGCGGTGGCTGGAGTAGCGGCGGCGGCGGCGGCGGCGGCGGAGGCCGAGGCCGGAACTCCGGAGACGTCACGTCCGGCCCGGGAGAGGCGTCTGCGCAGCGGCGTGAAGCTTGACCCGATTCTCCCCGCTCCCGCGGCGCGCCCGCGCCCGCGCCCGCGCCCGCTGAACCCGAGCTGCCGGTCCCTGGGGCTTCCTCGGCCCAGGCACCGGCGCCTGCGGGGACCCGTACGCGCCCGCCGCGGGGCACACTGGGACTTGTAGTCTTGGCTGCGCGTCCCTCGCGACTCCTCTTTCCCGCCGCATCCTTGGCTCCTGACTTTCGCCTCTGGGGACCCAGCCAGGCTTTCCCGAGGTAAAGCGTTCTAGCCACTCTGTTTTCTCGGGTTTCTCTCTCTCTCTCTCTCTCTCTCTCTCTCTCTCTCTCTCTCTCTCGGCAGTAGCGAAGAAGCGGGGGGTGCAACACACCCCGTGGTGCCCCCGGGCTACTCGGGTTTTTGAGGAATCGAGGGAGCTCGCTCCCCCTTTTCCGGGTTCAGAGGGGCTCCCTCCTGGGGTGGATCGAAATGGGGGCTCCTGCGAGCAAAGCAGGTGCTCCAGCAGCCCTTTGAGCCGTCTCCCCGGGCCACAGTTGGTCCCTCTTAAGCATTTTCTAAGCAGATCAGTTAAAGATTGGAGTAAACCCGGCTCTAGTAATGTGTTTCTCGGCAGCTTTGCTAGACCTTCGTGAAAACCTTACCTCTATCTAGGACAGAGAGACCCGGCCACCGATCCGGCCTAAGAGAAAGGGAAACTTATTAAAGCATCTCTTATGCAGACTGCTATGCAAGTGCTGTTTTTCCGTTTGATCCTCATGAGTCACTTACTCCCAAATCTCACAGGGAATAGCGGGCAAGCTGCACTGGTGTCATATACAGGTGAGTCCTGCAGGCAGTAGGGGGTTTTTTTGTTTGTTTGTTTATTATCCCTAACGCCAAGAACAGCACTTGGCGCATATTATACCTTCAACATTCGTATATTCAGAGGCTGGAGAGATGGCTCAAGAGGCTGGAGTACATGCCTGGCATGCCCAGGGCGAGAGTTTGACCTCCAACATTGTGAGACCTTTGCCAAGCCCACTGAGGAGGTTCCCCACCCCCAAACAAAATTTTGTTAATATGTGTATTGGGCTGGACAGACCACATAAGATATCCTGAGCTCCACCAGGAGTGGAGAACCAGGAGGAAGCCCTGAGCATCTCTGGGTCTGGCCCAAAAATCAAAGGAGGGGAAAGGTTGTTGAATGAATGATGCTCACAAGTATATGTTTTTTCATTTATTTAATGAATAGTTATATAGTACATATGATAGGGTTAACTATGGCTCTGGTCCTCCTGACGCTTATGAACAAATGGTTAATTACAAAGTAATCTGTGCTGAAAAGGAAAAGAGGGGGTACTCTGAGTAAGAAAAATGGACAATAGACCTACTTTTGGATGATAGCAGAGTGAAGGTAGAGTGTATAGATTCCAGCACCACATGGATAAAGCTCAAGTTCAGACTTTTCCATGTAGGCTGGGAGATAGTGCAGAGGGTAGGGAACTTCCCTTGCCTGGGTTCGATCTCCAGCACTACATATGTTTCCCTGAGCACTGCCCAAGAATGATCTCTGAGCACAGAGGCAGGAGTCAGCCCTGAGAACAGCCACATATGGCCCCTAAAACAAAATAATAATAATGACACACCCTTACTTCCCATCTCAGTGACAAAATTATCTATCCTCTCTGAGCTCTACTTTTTTTCTGCTCCCATATGGAGATTATAATAGTGCCTACCTTGAATGGAAATGAAAAAAAGTAATAATTACCTCATCGCCTTGGACTGAAGCTTAATATAACTAGTACATGGAAAGGAATTTTTTTAATGCCGTGTATGAGAATCAGCGAGAGAGCTCAGAAGACTGAGAGTGGAGAGAGGGTGGAGAGATCAAGGCATTTGTCTTGCACGTGGCAGATCTCAGTTCAGTGCTGGAATGCTGATGGTCCCCCTGGGCACTGCCATGAGTAGCCCTGGAGCACCAATTGGGTGTAGCAAAAAAAAAAAAAAAATTCTTTGCATGCTTGGGCCTGTTTTGATCCCCAGCACCTCGTGGTCCTCTTGGTATCTCAAGGAGCAACCCCTGAGCACCAAGGGATCAAACTGGGGTTTAGCTGCATGCACAGCAAAATGCCTTAACCCCTGTACCGTCTCTTCAGCCTCATGAACCAGAGTATGTTTGTACATTTGAGTGCTTCTGCTTTGCAAGCATAGCTCTGTCCTCAAGGTATTCCTATGGCTTCCTTCCTAAGCAGTTTTCTCTTTCCCAGGACACAAGATTGCTCTGGCACTCCTAAGTGTGGTATTCTCTGAACCATCCAGTTGAGTGGCCTCTCTGTTTTCTTTTTTCCTTTCTTTTTCTTCCCTTTGCTTTTCTTCCACCCCACCTTTTCCTTTTGATATCTGGAACACTTAGCAGTGCTCAGGTGCTCAAGCTGGGAGTCACTCCTGCAGTGCTTAGGTGACCGGACAGTGCCAGGGATTGAACCCAGGCCTCCTGCATGCAAAACATGTCCTCCTTCAGCCCATTGCCCATTGAACTTTCTCTCTCTCTCTCTCTCTCTCTCTCTCTCTCTCTCTCCCTTTTTCTCACTTTTCTCTCTCCTCCCCATCCTCTTCCTCACTTCCATTTTCAAGGCAAGCCATAGGGATCTATCATTAGGGAGGAAGCTGGCCACAACCAGAGATAATGCCCAGTTCAGAACTGGTGTCCAGAGTTCACGGAATCTAGGAATAGCAGGATGCTGAGAACTTGCTCTGCCTTGGAACTCCGCACCACTTTAAATTCATTGTATTAGGGCCAGGGAGATCGTCCAGCAGAATAGATGCTTGCCTTGCTTGTGCCCAACCTGAGTTCTCTCTCTGGTACCACCAGAGTGATCCCTGAGTGGAGATCCCAGGATTAAGCTCTGAGAACTCCCAGGTGTGATCCCAAAACAATAAAAGTAAATTGTTATATCCTTCCCCCTGCCCCAACATTGATGCTCAGAAAGCTTATTAGCTCCAGTTTAGTCCAGAGGACTCTAAGGCCCAGAGAAAAGCAATCCCTCAATGGGTGATTATTTTATTGTTTGCGCTTTTTTCTTTTTGCTGTGGGGGCCATGCTGGGTGATGCTGGGGGTAGTGGCCGTGATCAAACCTAGGCCTCCTGCATGCAAGTCATGGCACCAGCCCCTTAAGCTATCTCCCTTCTTGCTCTACTTCTTGCACTTTTAGGGGGCAGGGGGGCTTGGTATGGGCTATACCTGGAGGTGCTCAGGCGTGACCCTTGGCGGTGCTCAGGGGGACCGGATGTGGTTCCCAGGAGTTCAGCCAGAGTCATGTGGCAGTCGCAGGAACCTTCTCTCCTATACTATCTTTCCGGCCCCTATTCCTGGCACTTTCTACAATTGTTGCTAGTTAGTTGTAGTTCAGTAACTCTTTTAATTTTCAGTTCAAGATCATTTTATTATTATTGTTTTCTGCTGGATCTTTCTCTGGTTAGAGTGGAAAATCCAGAAGTCCAGGGCTCTGGCCGAGGAGACTGCTGAATATAGCACCAGTGCTAACTATGGAATGAGTCAGCTGTTTAAACTTGACTTGACCTGGCCTATAGTCTGCGGGAGAGATGTCACTGTCAGAAACCAGTTCTGTACTGAAAATAGCTTGTCCCTTGAGGGTAGCCCAGCTGCTGGAGGAACCGGGTCAACAATATGATCCATCCCCCACCCCCACCGCCGACCTTTCCTTAGGAAGTCGCTCGGATTTGTTTACCCACCCTCTTCCCGGGGGATAAGTGGTCTCTGGGGAGGCAGAGCTTGTTTGGGTCCCGAGAAATGCTTCAGCCAATGACCCTCTCCCCGGCCCCAAACGGGCCGGGGGAACCCCCAGCCCAGCCCGTTAGCCAAGCCCCGCCCCGGGAGCCTGGAGGTGAGCGGTTGGCTGCGCGCTTCCGGGGTCTGCGGGAGGCGCAGGTGCAGGCCCCGCCCCCGCTGGGCGGAGCCACGGCCCGGGACTCCGCAGGTAATGCAGCGCGGTCTGGGGTCTCGGCCCTGGGCCCGGGGTCTGGCGCCATCCCGGGCGGGGGTGGCCGCATCCATCAGGGGAGTGGGCCCCGGCTGGATGGAGAGCGCCGAGCCGGCCTTTTGATCGAAGGGAAACAGCCGTGTTCGCCCGACCTTGTCTCCTGACCCCCAGTAGCAGCCACGCTGCAGAGGGTTGGAGTATAGGACTGGCCAGGGTGGAAGCCCCCCTCCAGGTGAAGGTCACCTGGCTGAATGAGCTTTGCACGTAGGAACAGGGTGACTAAGTCTAAGTGACTTAGACTGAACATCGGATCTAGTCATTCATCTCTTATTATTCTATCGTCTATATTTACTTCTCTGTAAAGTTGCTCTTTTGGTAAATTCTCACAAAGAGGCCCAGATCTCTTGGAATTGAGAGTTTGTTTTTTTTTAATAGATTGTTACATTCAGGGTGATCACCGAAATGTTGGTGGCCTAATAAATCTCTCTGAAAGTCAGAGGGAAATAGGAAATAATTTGAGAAGATTTTATTGAGGAGGGGATATTTGAACTGGGCTTTGGAGGTTGACTAGGAGTTTTCTGCTAAAACTAGTAAATACTTGCCTTATCAGAGAAACAACAAATAGTACAGCAAGAATGCCCCCAAATAGCTAGAATTTGTGGACAGGAGATTCTAAGAAAGTTGTGTCCGGAAGCTTTGAAAACCACGTGGAGGCCAGGGTTCGTGGTGGTGGTTGGTTTGGGAGCAGGGCTGTACTGGGGGCCACCATGGTCACACCCAGTGTTGTGGCTCCCAGAACCTGTGGCTATGCAGCCTTTGAGCTGGCTCAGTGCCCAGGGTTTATCTTCGAGTTCAGTATTTTCTCAGCCCTGAAAATGTGTTATTTTTCAGTTCCATTCCGGAGTTGTCTGTGTCCCAGCTTGGCTGTGTAATTTCTGTTCTTTATGGGATTCTCTCTCTCTTCTCTCATGTTTCCTAAATAAAACTACTTCACTTCACATGCCAAAACAGATTGTGTTACCCTTTGATAAATATAATCATCGTATAACACTTGAAAATAAATTTTTATAGCTGCCCCCTCTCCATGAAAATCATAGACAGTGGGATTCGAGAGAAAATACAATGGAGAGGGCACTTGTCTTGGACGAGACCAACCCTGGTTCAATTCCCAATATTCCATATGGTCCCCAAAGCATTGCCAAAACTAATTCCTAAGTGCAGGACCAGAAATAATTCCTGAGGGGCTGGAGAGGTAGCACAGCGGGTAGGGTGTTTGCCTTGCACGCGGCTGACCCGGTTCGATTCCCAGCATCCCATATGGTCCCCTGAGCACCGCCAGGAGTAACTCCTGAGTGCAGAGCCAGGAGTAACCCCTGTGCACCACCAGGTGTGACCCAAAAAGCAAAAAAAAAGAAAAAAAAAAGAAATAATTCCTGTGTGCAGAGCCAGGAGCATCTGGGTCAGCTGTGTGCAAGCCCCCAAAACAAACAAAAGAAGAAAATCACAGACAGAAAACTTTAGGTAAAAATACTTATGCAATTGAATACTAAGAAAATTGTGTTAGAGCCTAGATAGTCCAGTGGTCAAGGTACTTGCCTTGCATGTAACTGATCTGGTTTCTGTCTTTAATACTCCCTGGTAATCTGAGTACTGCTGGAAACCCCCTCACCCCAAAAATACCCAGAAAATTATATTGTCTTTACCTCCCCAAATACACAATTCCAAAAAAGATTGGCAATACTTAATCAAATTAATCATTTCCTAGAATAGTTTCCAACAGGAAAGTAGTATTTATAGTATTCAACAAGAAAGGTTTACAGTAGGTGATCTAATTTGTTCTCTTTTAGGTTGAAAATAACCCTAAAGATTAAAGACTTGCCTCTCTTTCTTATGCATAGGACACCATGAAGCAGCTGCCAGTCTTGGAGCCTGGAGACAAGCCCCAGAAAGCAACATGGTTAGTAAGGAAGGATTCAGATGCAGGAAAACAGGAGTTTGCATTTCAGTTCTAAGGAGTTGACTAACATGTTTGATCAATGATGAGGAAGGGTAGCGCTGAGACCGTATGTGGTTGTGGTCATTAGACTCCAACTCTCTGAAAAGGTCTTCAGAGAAAAGATGGTGGGGGGGGGGCAGTAATTATCACAGAGCAGATGCTGGTTTTATTAAAATCCATTTTTCGAGAAGAGGAAGGCATTGGCCATCTGTCTTCCCCCACACTGTGATTCGTTTTTAAGATTTGTCAGGGAATTGGCTTTGAATTAAACCTTTCTGTTTTCTTGGCTGCTTGCTCAGCTTCATTGGGCAGCGGCTGCTGGCCTAAGGGGGAGCTGCTGTGTCGGTGCTGCAGGCTCCGAGGTGAATAGCCACGGTATAGCGGGAACTGCTGGTGAAGCCCATGCTGGTGATGGTGCGGCATCACCGGTGTAAGAGCCTTGAAGGAGGCCAGGCATGAGCTTCCAGCAGACGTCTCATCCGACACCCTCCTTCTCTACTCTTTTTTGTTTGTTTTGGGGCCTGACAATGCTCGGGGGTTACCCATGGCTCTGCACTTGGGAATCACTTCTGATTAGTGCTCGGAAGACAAAGTGGGATGCCAGGGATTGAACCCAGTCAGCCACGTGCAAGGCAGTCACCCTCCTCTACTCTTTTTCTCTATCAACTAGGGGTCTGACCATGGCATTCCCTGTTTCTAATTTGTGTCTTGCTTTTAATTTTAGGGTTAAAACTAATAGTCCTAGACTAAAGAGAGCACAGCAGTAAAGTGCTTCTAGCTCACCCGGCCTCAATCCTGAGCATCCAATATGGACCACCAGGCTCTGCCAGGAGTGATCCATCACTGAGCCAGGAGTAAGCCTGAACACTGCCTAGTATGGTCCCCCAAGCCAAAAAATAAATAGAATCACTGCCCTAGGGCTAGAGATAGTGCCCAGTGGACCAGTCACAGGCTTTGCATGCCAGAAGTCCAGGTTCTATCCCCAGCACTGCTGCCTTTTGTGACCCTCAAAGAGAGTCAGAAGTAATCTCCACACTGCCCTCCCCAAAAAAAATCTCTAAATGAAACAAATACACAAAGTATAAGCCTGAAGTGGGAAATATAGTTCAAATGCAGAAGGCCCAGTGTTCCTTAATTCCCAACAGTGGATGGTCCCCTGAACATTGCTAAAAATAACTCCCCCACTTCCCAAACACACCCGCCCCCGGCACAGAGTTGAGAGTAGCAGTGTCGTGGCCCCCACACAAACAATAACACATATCCCCTTATTCCTTCTTGACTTTTTTTAAACCTCAATGGCAGCCACATGCAAGGCAAGTACCTTACCTGAAGTCCCATCTCTCTAGCCTCTCTTCTTCCTCCTTTAACCTACATTTCCTCTCAGGAACTCTCTGGGCCCTCCTCCTGGACCACTTTCCCCTCCATCTTTTTTTTTTTATGTTTGAGCATCAAAATAGGTCTCAGGCATGCAAGACACACACTACTGCTGAGTTACACCCCCAGCCTCTTCATCTTTTTCAAATGGGTGGGGAGGGGGTTTGGACCTCATCCAGCAGTGCTCGGGGGATACGCTCAGCTCTTTACTCCAGGCTGATTCTTGGTGGCACTGGGGTGGGAGAGAGACAATGGTGTGTCAGGCCTCCTGCATGCAGATCATGCACTCCAGTTCTTTGAGCTATCTTACTCTCCAGTCCACCCCTTATTTTTTCCCTTTGTTGGGTTTGGGTTTTATACCATTATGCTCAGGGTTTACTCGTGGCTCTATACTTTAGGATCACTCCTGGTGGGGCTCAGGGAACCATATATGCTGCCGAGGATCAAACCTGGGTTAGCCACATGCAGTATAAACACCCTATCCACTGTACTATCTCTTTGACCTGGGAAAGCTCTTAAGATCAATACATTTGAGCCAGGGCTCGTGTGAATGGCAGAGTGCTGCCTTGCATGTGTGAGGCTCTGGGTTCAATCCCCAAAGAGAGGAGAGAGAGAGAGAGATCAATAAATTCTGAGAAATAGCACTGGAGAAGGAAGGATTCCTGGCTGCAGGTTTCAATTCGCTGCCCATAAAGCTATAGGCACCATTTATGAAATTCTTCCCTGCATTGTCACAAGACTTCATCTTTTCAGATAATACTGTTGCTATTTTCACTTAACAAATAGAAAACTAAGGTTCTGAAAGGGTTACTGACTTTCATATGTAAAGTCTGGGACTGAATGAAGTCTTCTGAACCCACAAACCTTTCCCAAAGCTACCTTTTGTTTTTGTTTGGGGGCCATACAGGCGATGCTCAGGGGTTATTCCTGGCTTTGCACTCAGGAGTTACTCTTTTTTATTTTTTAATGTAGGAGTACTGCTTTTTATTCAGCCATTGGTTAGCTGATTGAATTGGGCATGAACTCCACATTACTTTTTAATTTTTAAAAAATATTTTTTAATTGAATATCTGTGAAATAGACCATTACAAAGCTGTTCATAATTGGGTTTCAGTCATACAGTGATCCAGCATTCATCCCTCTACCAGTGTACATTTCCCACCACCAATGTCCCCTGTTTTCCTACCACCATCCCCCAACAACCCCCACCCCCACCCCCAGCCTCCCTCTATGGGAGGCACATTCAGGAATTACTCTTGACAGTGCTCAGGGGACCATATGGATTGCTGTTTTCAAACCCAGGTCACCTGTCTGCAAGGCGAGTGCCCTGCCCATCGTATTGTCTCTCCAGCCCCAATCCATGGCTGCCTTCTGTGCTAAACCCCACCCATGAATGTATCTGGATGTGGATGTCAGCTTCCCCATCTACAGAACGGCATCAATTACTCACCCAGCGACTGACTCTCTACTGGTTTACGATCGTGACAGCTTTGAAAAGTCAAAGGTTAGGGGCTATTATTACTCAAGCTGCTTTGCTGACTACAGGTTCAATGTCCATGCCTCCGGGTGAATATTTCACAAGGACTAAGACAAACATGCTGCCGCTCTGATTTCTCTCTGCTCAGGCCTCCTGAACGCATCCTCCTTTTGGCAGGTACACCTTGAGCCCCTCTGGAGACAGCCCCTCTGCCCGGGTTGGCCACAGCTGCTCATACTTACCCGCAGTTGGGGATGCCAAGAGAGGGAAGGTCTTCATTGTTGGGGGAGCAGACCCGCTCAGGAGCTTCTCAGAGGTGCACAGCCTGGATCTGGGTAAGCCCTTGGGGGCCGGCGACTGGGGAGCAGAGCTCTGTGCTGCTGCTCTGACCGTTCCTAAAACCAGGGTGCTGGGGCAGGGGCCACAGCAGGGAGGGCGTTTGCCTTGCACACGGCCGACCCAGGTTTGATTCCCAGCATCCCATATGGCCCCCCTAGCTCTGCCAGGAGTGATTCCTGAGTTCAGAGCCAGGAGTAACCCCCGAACATCGCGGGGTGTGACCCAAAAAGAAGAAAAAAAAGAAAAATCAGGGCCAGACCCGTGAGGCAGCCCTCAGAACTAACACAAGCGCCTGGTGTGCCCGGAGGCCCAGGTTTGGACCTGAACTGAGTATGAACACACGGCAGGGTTTCCCTCCAAGATAAATGAACATCATTGAGTGCGCCCCACAATCTCCGCAGACTGCCGCCACGTTACCCTCAGACCAATACCTCCTTGTCTGCAGGAAAGAGCCAGAGGGGAACCGTTGACCTCTTCTGTTCATTCATCAGCTGTTGCTCTAGAGATATGGAGGACTCCAACCCCTCTTTTCTTTCGGTTTCTGTTTTGGCTTTTGGATCGTGCCTAGCAGTGCTCAAAAGCAGCACCATGATACACCTGGGGACCTTACAGCAACAGCAAATGAATCCAAGGTTCTGCATGTAAAGCCACTTTTCCTTTGCTTTGGGGTTTTGGGGTTTTTTTTCCTGAGGGTTTATTTTTTTGGTTGGAGTTTTGGGGCCACAGCCAGCTGTGTTCAGAGATCGCTCCTAGTTCTGTACTCAGGGATCACTTCTGGCATGCTCAGTGGTGTGCGAAGGATTGAACTTGGGTCAGCTATGTGCCAGACAAGCGCCCTCCCCCACTGGGCTATCACTCTGGCTCCGCCTTTGAGCTATCTCTGACTGTCACTCACTGCCACTTCCTTTTTCAAAGATTAATAGGGCCAGTTGACCACCAGATCCTAAACATCTGTTTATCCATATCTGTCCTTTTGTTGTTTTTTTATTTTTTCTTTTTTGTTGAGGGGGGAGGGGGCCACACTCCTCTGTGTTCAGGGCTTGTTCCTGGCATTGCACTCAGGGATCGCTCTTGGCAGCTTTTGGGGAGCCAGGTGGAATGTCGGGGATCAAATTCATATGGGCCATGCGCTAGGCAAGCATCCTGCCTACTGTGCTGTATTCCAGCCAGCCCCTGTCTCTTCATTTTCTTTCCTCTCAACTAGACTCTGTCAATAGTCTCCTTTTGTTTTCCTGCTTCTAAGTCTACCCTACTTATACTTAATATACTTAAGTATATTTTTCATACCTAGCCATTAAGTGTTGTCCAAAATACAAATCAGAGGACCAAAGATGGCTCATGAGCGGCATATGCGAGGCTCTGAGTTTGATCCTTGGCACTGCATGGTCCTCCAAGCACTTGGTGTGGTTCTGGTGATGTGGAACACCATTAGAAGTGACTCATCAAAAATAAACAAACTTTTTATTTATCTATTTATTTTGCTTTTGGCTCGTACCTGGCAATACTCAGGGGTTACTCCTGGCTCTGCACTCAGGATTCGCTCTACTTGCTATACTAACTCTCCAGCTTGAAAAACAGGTGACTTGTCAAAAATAGGTGGTGTGTGTGTGTGTGTGTGTGTGTGTGTGTGTGTGTGTGTGTGGTTTTGAGGATACACCTGGCAGTGCTCAGGGCTTGCTCCTAGTTCTATTCTCAGGATCACGCCTGGTGGCCTTGGGGGACCATATGGGAAGCCAGGGATCAAAACCTGGCCTCCCATGTACAAGGTAAATGTCCTACCTGCTATACTATAGCTCCAGCCCCTAAATAAGCAATTTTTAAAAATATATAAATATGGGACTGAAGACATAGCTTAATGGACTGAGTGCTTAACATGCATGAGGCCTGGATTCAGTCTTTATCCCACATAGTCCTGAGCTCTGCCAGGGGTAACCCCAGGAGTGGTCCAAAAACGAAACCAAAAACAAAATTACATTAAAAAGAAAAAAACCAGTAAGGGGCTAGAGAGATAGTGCAGTAGGTAGGGCACTTGCCTTGCATGCAACTGGGTTTGATCCCTGGCATCCCATGTGGTTCCCCCAAACACCACCAGCAGTGATTCTTGAGTGCACAGGTAGGAATAAACACCAAGAATTGCTGGGCATGACCCCAAAACAAAATAAACATATAGATGTATGTTTGCATATAAACATACATTTATCACAACTGAGTATAAATTTTTTTGGAGGGAGCATTAGTTGTTCCAGTGCTCAGGGGCTACTTCTAGCTCTTCTGGGGTCACTCCTTACACAGTCTTACTGGGGGCTGTGTGATGCAGCAGATGGGTCAGCCACATGCAAGCCAAGTGCCTTACCCTCTCTACTCTCTCTGACCCTCCTTCCTTTTCTTGAACAGATCCTGAACTCTGACCTCAGGCTTTGTACTTAGTCTGCCCAGTGCTTAAAAGCCTCTTTCTTTCATTGTAACGAGACGTTACTGGCGCCTGCTTGAGCAAATCTTTGATCACCGGGATGACAAGTGATACAAGTGACAAGTGATTCTTTCATTGACGTGTGGCTTCTGTTGCTCTTTCAGATTCTGAGATTAAATATTAAACCTTATTTTCATTAGGAACTTTCCCTGAAAACTCCTGGATTCTTAGGCAGGACTACAAAGAAAAGATAAATCTCTTCTATTTCCTTTTCTTCTTCTGTGTTTCTTCTCAACTCTTACTTTAATATTAAAAAAAGAAATGGGCTGGGACAAAAATGAATATTTTGGGGGCTGGGGATTGAACTCGGGGCCTCACCATGGAAGACAGTGTTCTACATCTGAGCCATCTTTACAGCCCTGCATCTACTTCTAAACAAACAGGGTCCAGGGGTTGGAGAGATAATAGAGGGGGTAGGGCACTTCCCTTGCACATGAGGGGTTCAACCCCTGGGACCCTATAGGGCTCCCCAAGCACCACCAAGAGAGATTACTGAACACAGAGCCAGGAATGATCCAAATACTGCAGAGTGTACCCACCAACCTTCCCCCCATCCCCCCACTCCCCCAGCCCCCCATCAGCACTGTAGCACTGTAGCACTGCCCTCCCCGTAGTTCATCAATTTGCTAGAGTGGGCACCAGTAACGTCTCCATTGTGAGACTTGTTGCTACTGTTTTTGGCATATCGAATATGCCTCGGGAAGCTTGCCAGGCTCTGGCTTGCGAGCAGGATACTCTCGGTAGCTTGCTGGGCTCTCAAGAGGGGCAGAGGAATTGAACCCGGGTCAGCCTCGTGCAAGGCAAACACCCTACCCGTTGTGCTATTGCTCCAGCCCCGGCAAAAAAGAAAAACAGAGTCCCAGGGTCAGAGAGACCGTTCAAAGGGCTGGAGCACATGCTTTGCATGCAGATGTCCTAGGTTTGATCAAGGAACCAAAGAACCAAGTAGTCTCCGAGCAGTGCTAGGTAAAAATCAAATCTACTTCACTCCTTACTGTCTTCTGAAACATCTGCTGCTTTCTGTAGATGTTTTGTTCTCTGTACTTTTGGATTCTTTCCTTTCCTCTCCAAAGTATCTTCTGTCTTTATCTAGAAATCTCTAAATTTCAGATTCTTCGGAGGATCTGATTTGGGGTCAAGTGACCACTTGGATCCATTTAAGCAAAGCTTAGAAAGCCAAGGTGTTTGAGAGTAGCGAGATTACTCAATGGGGTTGAGTTGATGCTTTGCGTGCAGAAAGCCCTGGCTTCTTGATCTCCAACACTGCATGGTTGCCCAGACACCACCAAAACTAACATCCAAACACCAGAAATAGCCCCCGGGCACTGCTGAACGTAGCACCCCAAGAAAAGGAGGTGTAGATCTTCCAGGATTTCCTTTCCAAGAAGAGGGTTTGTGGATCAGGTAGTTTGCCCTGATAGGTTGTTTCCAGAATTTCTTTGGAGTTAGCCGCATTCCCCTTATTTGCTTATTCATTTATATTTGGTGCCAGGATCCAACCCAGATCCTCCCCAGCAAAGCTTGTGCTCATCCCCTAAGTCACATACCTGCCCCTCATTCCCGCTGAGGGATCTGAACCTTGCGCTTCTGAACCTCTCTCTACCCACCCCCCAATCTATGGATCCATCAGTACAATCACTCAAAACCCCAAACTGAAATGTTTTTTAGGAACACACCAGTGGGATCTGGCCTCTGCAGAGGGACTCCTACCCCGCTATGAACATGCCAGCTTCATTCCCTCCTGCACACCGGGCCATATCTGGGTGTTTGGAGGTGCCGACCAGTCAGGAAATAGAAACTGCCTGCAAGTCCTCAATCCTGGTGAGTAGCCAAGGGACCCCTGTAATTAATCCAATTCCCGTTCCTGAACTCAAGTTCTTTGGAATTACTCCAGTGTGTCCCTTTAATTTTTGTTTACATCATGGAAAAGAATTATTTTGACTTGGAGCAGATTCTGAAAATAACTTACCTTGTCCTCTTTTAGTAATACCTACAGTTACCAACTTCATTTTTGTATTTTGGGCTGAGGTGGGACCACTCCCAGCAGTGCTTGGAGACGACTCCTGGCTCTGTGCTCCGGGGTTGCTCCTGGCAGCGCTTAGGGGCCCATGCAATGCTGGGGATCAGACCCACACTTTCTGCATGAATGCTGGTGATGTGATTGGTCCCTGGGACTTCCTCTCTGGCCCCTGTTACCACCTTTTGAAAATCAGAGCTCTGGGGCCAGAGCTATATAGTACAGCAGGTAGGGAGTTTTCCTTGCGTGTGGCCAACCCGGGTTCGACCCCAGCATCCCATAGGGTCCTCCGAGCACTTCCAGGAGTGAGTCCTGAATGCAGAGCTAGGAGTAACCTCTGAGCATCATCAAGTATGACATCTCCCCACCACACACACACAAAAAAAGTCAGAGCTCAGTGGAATTTCCAAGGACAGTCTTGGCTAATGGGCAGCCTAGATCTAACAAGAGGAAGTGACTTTCCTAAAGTTGCAAAGAAGGTAGTGATGGCCAGACTGGGAACCCAGGGCCCCAGAATACAGGGTCTCAAAGGGGACACTTCCCGTTGTCTTCCCGTTGTTCATCGATTTGCTCGAGCAGGACCAGTAACATCTCCATTTTGAGACTTGTTGTTACTGTGTTTGGCATATTGAATACGTCACGGGTAGCTTGCCAGGCTTTGCCGTGCGGGCAAGATACTGTCGATAGCTTGCCAGGCTCTCCAAGAGGGGCGGAAGAATCGAACCCAGCTCCGCTGGGCTGGCTGCGCCCAAGGCAAACACCCTGCGTTGTGCTATTGCTCCAGCCCTTGTTATGATATAAGATATTTAAAAAGTGCCAATGGGTGGGCATGAGCTATCTATCACCCTGTGACAATGAGGTTTTTTCTTTTTTTTTTTTTTTTTTTTTTTTAGCCTCACCCAGCAGTGCTTTGGGATTACTTCTGCCTCTGCACTCAGGGATCACTCCTGGTGGGCTTGGGGGACCATCAGGGGTGCCAGGGATCAAACCCAGGTCAGCCATATGCAAGGCAAGTGCCCTACCTGCTCTACTACTGCTCCAGCTCCAAAGATAAGGCTATTAATAATGTTCCTATTTCCTTTGCATTTTTCTAAGTGGGAAATATTGTTTTACCAGTTTCACACTCTCATAACATTCCTTTTTAATTTCCTAGTCACTGCAGAAATGATCTTCTGTTAAATGATTTCTTGGGACATTTATACTTAGAGAAATAATACTTAGGTTAAAGCACTGGACTTGCACATGGCTGTGACAGAGACAATGGTACAAATTCACATCTGGCCCCCAGAGCACCACCAGGTGTGTCTCCTGACCAAGGAATCAGTAATGGCTCCTGAGGACTGTGGGATGTGGAGAAAAATTAAAACTTTGGGGCCAGAGTAATAGTACAGTGGTTAGGGTGTTTGCCTGGCAGCGTGACCCAGGTTCAATCCATGGCATCCCATGCGGTCCCCTTAGCACCGCTAGGAATAATCCCTGAGCAACACCAGGTGTGACCCCAAAACCAAAATAAATATAAATTTTTTTAATGAAAAACTTTAATAGAAAAGAAAGAAAAAAAACTTTTAAGAGGGTGCAGCAGGCTGGAACGATAGTACAGCGGGTAGGGCGTTTGCCTTGCACGTGGCCGACCCGGGTTCGATTCCCAGCTCCCAGCATCCCATATGGTCTCCCGAGCACCGCCAGGAGTAATTTCTGAGTGCATAGCCAGGAGCATCGCCAGGTGTGACCCAAAAAGGCCAAAAACAAAACAAAATACTGCATCGACAATACAGTGGGTGGGACCTTTGCCTTGCACATGGTGGAACTGGGTTCCATCCCCAGCCCCTTAGACCTCATATGATCCCCTCAGCCTGCCAGGGGTGATCCTTAAGCATAGAGGCAGAAGTAAACCCTCAGCAGCACTGCCTGGTATGGCGCAGACACCCCGCCCCCCAAAAAAAGAAAAAACAACCTACCTCTTTTAACACCATTTTGAATTCTTGCATAATTTTTCGTTTTCCGCATTATAGTCCAGTTGATGCCAGACGATAAAAAAAATTTGTGTTCAGGTTTTTACCATTATCACTGTATCACTGTCATCCTGTTGTTCATCAGTTTACTCGAGCAGGCGGCAGTAACTTCTCCATTCATCCCAGCCCTGAGATTTTAGCAGCCTCTCCTTACTTGTCTTACATTGGAGGCTCTTTCAGGGTCAGGGGAATGAGACCCGTTATTGTTACTGTTTTTGGCATATCGAATACGCCACGGGGAGCTTGCCATGCTCTGCCGTGTGGGCGGGATACTCTCGGTAGACTTTGTGCAGCTTAATCTTTATACTATCTCTCTGCCCTATAATTTTTTTTAGGGAGGGGTCACATTCAGATGTGATGCTGGGAATCTGAACGAGGGTCACAAAGTGCCTGTTCAGATCAGAGCAAGTGCCTCACCTTCTGAACTCTCCAGTCCTTATGGTACCCTGAGTTTGCCAGGAGTGATCCCTGGGCACTGCAGGGTATGACCCAAAAACCAAAACAAACCAAACAAACAAAAAAAACATATCTTTATTTGAGTGATAGACAGACAGAAATCAGTTCTGGTGCCCTGGCTGTGGGCAGCCAATGATGGTGTCCCAACACCACATATGATCCCTCTGCTGAATGTGACCCTCCCAAAAACAATTTTTTTAAATTGAATCACCAAGAGATACAGTTACAAAGCTTTCATGTTTGAGTTTCAGTCATACAATGATTGAACACCTATCCCTCTACCTGTGCACATTTTCCACCACCAATGTCCCCAGTATCGCCCCTATTTTTCTTTTTCTTTTCTTTTTTTAATACATTTTAAATAAAATTTAGTAAGAATTTGGAAAGCTCCCATCAAAGTAATTGATTTTCCACAAGATTCTTTTTCTCACCTAGTTTGTCATTCGATAGCATGCCCTAGAAATACGAAACATGCTCAATGAATTGTTAGTTATTTCAGTTATTAACGCCATTCTCTCAAATGACTTAGATTCCCTTCTGATTATTTGTATCACTCACTAGAATCTTCTGCCCCTATATGTGGATCTTCTGACTTTCCTGAATCCAAGACACACCCCAAGACCTGTAGCAGTAGAGACATTTTGCTTTGGCTAGGGTCCAAAACTTAGTTGGTCTCTAGGCTCAGGTTTGAGTCACAGAAACATCACAAAAGCGTTGTTTGGTATCTTGGATTTCTTTTGTTTAGTTTGGTTTGGTTTGGTTTTCTGCCTCAACCAGAGGTCAGGGATACTCCTGAGCTCTTGCTCACGGGTTATTCCCAATGGCGCTCAGGGGACCATGAATGCCAAGCTATTACGAAACAATTAGAATTCCAACGTAGTTATGTCACCTTCCACAGGTGACCTGCTCTGTCTCTGCTATAATTTCCCTTATCTGTAAGGTCAGGGAACTGGTCATTACTGAGTGCTAACTGTTAGTGGGGATTGTTATTAGTGCTACTGACCTAGTAATAATATTGTCGTCTTTTCTTTTAATAGCCACATGTCCTGGGGAATTTGGCACATTGATTTCCAGTATCTAATGGGAAGGAGGGCTGGAGCGATAGCACAGCGGTAGGGCGTTTGCCTTGCACACGGCCTACATGACCGACTGGAGTTCGATTCCTCTGCCCCTCTCGGAGAGCCGAGCAAGCTACCGAGAGTATCTCGCCCACACGGCAAAGCTTGGCAAGCTACCCGTGCGTGTTGTATTCGATATGCCAAACACAGTAACAAGTCTCACAATGGAGACGTTACTGGGCCCGCCCGCTCGAGCAAATCCATGAACAACGGGAGAACAGTTACAGTGACAATGGGAAGGAATTTGGGCAGATTCAGGGCTTCTCTGAATGGCCACGTGGCAGAGTGGGTCAGTCAGTGAAAGAGGCAGAGGGCAGAGAAGATGTTCAAACACCCTACCCAACAAATTGACTCATTCTTTTTTTTTCCCTGGTTGTTTTTCCTAACTGTGCCCAGAGATTCTCCCGTCTCTGTGTCTGTAGGTTGCTCTGTGCTCAGGGAACCCACGTTCTGGGGATCAAACCCAGGCCTTCTGGGCCGGAGAAATAGTTCAGCGGGCAGGGCTTTTGCCTGGCACAAGCTGACCACGGTTAGATCCCCATAGAGTCTCCTGAGTCTGCCAGGAATGATCACTGAGCACAGAGCCAAGAGTAACCACAAGCCTTGAGAAACCACCCAGAAGGGCCAAAAACGAAACCAAACCAGACCTTCTGCATGCAAGTATGTGCTCAGCCCATTGAACTCTCTCTCCTCCCTGGCCTCATTCTTTTTGTTTCTGTTTGTTTTTTTTTTTAATTTTGGTGTATTAATTTATTTATTTTTGTTTATTTTTGGCGGATGGAGGGACATCCACACCTGGCAGTGCTCAGGGGCTATTCCTGGGTCAGTGCTCAGGATCTAGCCCTGGCATTGCTTAGGGGACCATATATGGTGCTGGAAATTTGAACCAGATTCCTGACCACTGCAGCCGCATGCAAGGCTAGTGCTTACCTCCTGTATTACTCTTTGTTCTTTTTGCTTTGGGGCGTTAGGTTGTTTTGGGAGGATTTTTGTTGTTTACCATGACTGTTGTTGTTTTTCTTTTTGGGTCACACCCAGCAATACACAGCATTTACTCATGGCTTTATACTCAGGAATTTCTCCTGGTAGTGCTCAAGGGGATCATATGGGATTCTGGGAATTGAACCCGGGTTGGCCACATGCAAGGCAAACGCCCTACCCACTGTACCCACTGTAAGCCAAAGCAGAACAAAAAGAATAAAATTTAAACAGAATAATTTGGGCTCAACCTCTGTGGCATGGTTGGGCCACATCGCTCCAGCCCCTTGTTTGGTATTTGGACCACACCAGCTGTATTCAGGGTTTACTCCTGGCTCTGCGCTCAGGCCCCAGCCAGCTCCTGGCAGGGCTTGGGGACCATATGTGGTGCTGGGGATTGAAACCAGGTCAGCCATGGGCAAAACTTACTGCTGTACTGTCTCTCTAGCTCCCTGGCCTCATTCTTAATTGGACTTGTGACTTTCCAGTGGTGGTAGTTTAAATCTATGTGGGCACATTCTAAGTATTGCAACCCTCCCCCTCCTGAGGTTGGTGGCATGAGATTCTTGCCACCAAAGATTCCTGTGTACTGTGCTATTGAAAGGTGACCCATCCCAGCCCGAGTCAAGGTGAGAAACTCCCTCAACCTGAATATTTTTGGTGCCTTCTCTTCTCTCCACCAGAAACCAGGGCTTGGACCGTGCCAGAGGTGTCCAGCCCCCCACCATCCCCGAGAACATTCCACACCTCTTCAGCAGCTATTGGAAACCAGCTGTTTGTCTTTGGGGGCGGAGAGAGAGGCGCCCAGCCCGTGCAGGATGAGAAGCTGCATGTGTTTGACGCAAGTATGAGAGGGCAGGCTGGTGGGCGGGGGGGGGGGGGGGGCTTCCTGGTCACGGTTAGAAAAATGATGCCCTGGCTGAGTGTCCTGACTAATTTGCTTCTCACAGCAAAGTTTCATTTAAAAAGTTATAAATGATCACTTTATTTGTTGTTCTTGTGGGGTTTTTTTTTGGGGGGGGGGGGAGGTTCACACCCAGCAATGCTCTGCTCTCAGGAATTATTCCTGGCAGGGCTTAGGGACCCATATCAGATACCAGGGATTGAACCCAGGTTGGCCCCGTGCAAGGCAAATGCCCTACTCCCTGTACTATAACTCTGGCCTCTAAATGATCACTTTAGAAGTTTAAACAGAGTGCCGTAGCGATGTACAGCAGGTAGGGCATTTGCCTTGCATGCGGCTGACCCAGATGTTATCCCTGTCATCCCTTATGGTCCCCCAAGCACTGCCAGGAGTAATTCCTAAGTGCAGAGCCAGGAGTAACCCCTGAACATAACTGGGTGTGACCCCCCCCAAAAAAAAAGAAGAAGAAGCTTAAACAGAGCTGGAGAGCTAGCCCAAAGGACTTGAGCACATGCTTTGCTTATTGGAACCTGAGTTTGAGCCCTGAACTCTGCCAGGAGCAACATCCAAGTACTGAGCTTCATGTGGCCCCAAAGCAAAAAGAATAAAATTTAAACAGAATAATTTCGGCTCAACCTCTGTGTCATGGTTGGGCCAGAAATGGCAGCTCTCTCCCGGTGCTCAAGGAGCCACCTGGTGGCCCAGGTCAAACCAGGGTCACATGTGTGAAGCAAGCACCTAAGCCCTCACACCACTTCTCCAGCCCAGCAGTACGCTTTATAAAGAAACAAGGTCAATTTTAACCTTTCCTTCCCTCTCCCCAGTCAGAAAAAAAGCACTGTAAACAGTTTCCCACATCTCCTTCCAGACTTTTTCATGCCTGTTTTGGGGCATCAGAGGGGCCCACATGTAGCAGTGTTTAGAGCTTACTCTTGTTTCTGTGCTCAAGGATCACTCCTGGGACCATGTTGGGTGCCAGGAATCAAACCCAGGTCTGCTACATGCAGGACAAGCTCCCTCCCTGCTGAACTAATGCTCTAGCCCTTCGAAGGTAGGTTTTTGTCAGTGTTGTTTGCTCCGTGGAGACAAAGGAACTGAAAGAAGAGAAATTCTTGGCATGACTCTTGATGGTGCTCAGGTGACCAGGCGGTGCCAGGATCAAATTGAGGCCTCCCTCACGCAAAGGATTCACTCTGCCCTTTGAGCTGTCTCTCCGGCCCTGTATCCTGTAATTTTCACCTAAACTTTTCCCCTGTAATCGGGAAGTCTTTGATGTTTAATAAATGCATAGTATTCTGGGCCTGGAAACACCATGCAGAACTCAAGGCACCCGCCTTGCAAGTGTGTGGTCACAAGTTCATCTCCCCAGTGTCCCACATCTAGCCTCCGAGCATCACCAGGAGGTTCCCCCCCCCAAAAAAAATTCAAGATAAATAACTAAATGTACAATGAGCTAGCGTGACTATTGCACAAATGCCGCGGCTCACTTCTGCTGGATTTAGATTATTCCCAGTTCTCTGATAGTGTTTGTGCATAAACCTTCTCGGATTACTGCAGCTCGTACTCCTTAGAGCATCGAGAGTGCTATTAACAACACTCAGGCACACCACAAACGGTTCTTCAAATAGAAATTGGCAGACCTTGTTTCAAATAGGCTTTCTGTTCTTTATTTTGGGGAGGGCAGCGGGCAGAGCAGACATACCTAGTGGTGCTGAAGGGCTACTTCCAGCTCAGTTCTCGAGGGTCACTCTCTCAGCAGTGCTCAGGGAACCATATAGTGCCAGGGTTCAAACATGTGACTCCTGCATGCAGAGCATGTCTCAAACACTTTCACAAAACAGTATACCAAAAAAGTTATATTTCCCGTTTTGTTTTTGATTTTAGGCCACACCTGGCAATGCTCAGAGCTTACTCCTGGTTCAGTGCCCACGGGACTATTGGGGTGCCAGGGATAGAATCCAGGTCAGCCATGCGCAAGTACAATCTCTCCAGTTCAGAAGTAATACTTATATCTTTGTGAGTTTTTTTGTTTGTTTATTTGTTTGTTTCTTTTTGGGTCACACCCAGCGATGCACAGGGGTTACTCCTGGCTCATGCACTCAGGAATTACTCGTGGCAGTGCTCCAGAGACCATATGGGATGCTGGGAATTGAATCCGGGTTGGCCGCATGAAAGGCAAACGCCCTACCCGCTGTGCTATCGCTCCAGCCCTATTTTTGTGGTTTTTGATTGCTTTGAGACTATGCCTAGAACTGATCAACATTATTCCTGGCTCTGTGCTCAGGACTCATTCACTATAGTACTTGGGGGACCATGCAGTGCTGGGGATCAAGCCTGGGTCTCCTGCATGCACATTATAGCATGCACAAAGCCCACTGAGTAATCTCTCCAGCTGTTACAAGACCCCAAGACCTGCCTGATTTGTTGAAATGATTCATTTTCAAGAATTTTCTCTACATATATAATTTTTTTTGTTTGGCTTTTTGTGTCACACCCAGCAATGCTCAGGGGTTACTTCTGGCTCTGCATTCAGAATTACTCCTGATGGTACTCAGGTGACCATATGGGATTATGGGGAACAAACCCTGTTCGTTTGTGTGCAAGGCAAATGCCCTACCCATGTATTGCTCCAGCCCCCTCTACATATATAAATTTGAAGCTGTACAAGACTGCCAATTAGGTGGATGTATCTTTACTTTTAGGATAATGACCATATTCAGTCCTCATATTCTTAGTACTGGCCAGTATTCTTCATGAATTTTATGTACATTATCTCGTTTAATCTGTATTTTCAACCTAGAGAGGTAGGAATGACAAGGTATTCTATTTTTTGTGGAGGTGAGGGTAAAGGAGAAGGTTGTCCACACCTGACTGTGCTCAGGGTTTATTCCTGGCTTTGCCCTCAGGGATCACTCCTGGAAGGCTCAGGAGACCATATGGGGTACTGGGGATTGATGCTAGGTCAGCCTTGTACAAAGCAAGTACCCTACTCACTACGCTATCTCTCTGGACCCCAAATATTATCTTTATACTTCACAGTGATAGCAACAAAAATAGTTGCTACAAAAACAGAAATAGTTGCTACAAGGGCACACAGTTATTTAGAGAAATAACCTGATTTTGCATCCAAATTCCATTTTCCAGGGGCTGGAGCGATAGCACAGTGGGTAGAGCATTTGCCTTGCACGGGCTGACCTGGGTTCGATTCCCAGCATCCCTGAGCACCGCCAGGAGTAATTCTTAAGTGCATGAGCCAGGAGTAACCCCTGTGCATCGCCGGGTGTGACACAAAAAGCAAAAATAAATAAACAAATTCCATTTTCCAATCTTAGTTCTATACTGTGCTACTGAGAGTCTCCTGCATCCCCCCCCACCCCCGTTGTTTGTGTGCTCAGGGTGCTCAGGGACCATACATGGCACTGAAATAGAACTCGGGTTGACTGTGACTGTGTACAAGGTATGAGCCTTCCTCATACTATCAAGCTCTCTAAGGAAAGGTGTTTTTTTTTTTCCTTTTTGGGTCACAGCTGGCAATGCACAGGGGTTACTCCTGGCTCTGCACTCAGGAGTTACTCCTAGCTTGCTCTGGGGACTATATGGGATGCTGAGAGTTGAACCCCGGTCAGCCGCATGCAAGGCAAACGCCCTACCCACTGTGCTATTGCTCCAGCCCCAGAAAAGCTCTTTTTAAATTCAAAGCTAGACATGGTTTTCCAATGCCCTGCAGGAAGGGCAGGTATCTTAGTGAGTCCTCCAGCCTTGGAAGTGTCTAGATGTACTAGAAGCTTTATGCAGGTTGGTGAATTGGAACAAATGACCCTGAGTTCACTTTTTGCTTGGAGCAGTTCTGCTCTCCCGGAAGTGAAACTTGCCTGAACTCTATATGTTCTGGCTTCCTAGCTTTGTCATCTGGTGTCCTTGAATTTGCTTTCCTAGGTACTCTGACCTGGTCACAGCCAGAGACACTTGGAAACCCTCCTGCCCACAGGCACGGCCACGTGATGGTGGCAGCTGGGACAAAGCTCTTCATCCACGGTGGCTTGTCAGGGGACAGATTCTATGATGATCTCCACTGCATTGATATAAGTAAGTTGGGTACAGGGCATGGGAACTTGTCTGCCTGGAAAGACATAAAATATGCTTTGTGGGGTTGGAGAGATAGTACAGTAGTAGGGCATTTGCCCTGCATACAGTTGACCTGGATGCCAGGTGTAATTCCTGACATCCCAGATGGTCCCCCAAGCCCTGTCAAGACTGGTGCCTGAGTGCAGAGCCAGGAGTAAACCCTGGGCACAGAAGCTGTGCCCAATAATTTTTTAAAGGAGTGCTTTACCAGGAACGTAACTCAGTGCTTGAGCTCGTGCTTTACATGGAAGTGGCCCTGGGCTGGCTCCCCACACCAGAAAATATACAGATGAAAGAATGAGTGAGGGAGTGAATTCTTCTGATGGAGGATAGCTTTGTTCACAAGTATAAATAACAGCCAGCAGAAAAATATTCACCAGATTCTGTTAAATCCTGCTTGAACGATAATAATAATAATAATAATAATAATAATAAAAACAATAGAAGCAGTTGCTTTCGAAATGCTATATACCCAACCATTTATCTTTCATCCTTTTACCAACGCAATATATTTTTTTTGGATGGGCATAGGGCCAGCACAGTGCTTAGGGGCACCCCTGGCAGTGCCGTGAACTCTGGTACCCAGGGCCAGACCTGGTGTTCCTGCATGTGTCACACTCGCTCCTTTGAGCCTTGTCTCCGGCACACAGCCAGCCTCCTCTCATTAGCGCTCATTCAGCTTTTATGTTCCCTGATTGGATTTCTTACGAACATTAACCATTGAATTCATGTCCATGAGGGAATGGGGGATAATTCCTAGAATGTGTCTGTTGTGGGGGGAGGTGTTGACCAGAATTTTTATGGTAAACGATGAACCACCCCGGAATGGGAAAGTTAGGGAAGACATGAGGGTCGCCTTGAAATGTCTCTTTTTTGGGGGGTTGGGAGTGAGGGAGAGGGCTACACCTGCACTCAGAAATCATTCCTGACGGACGTCAGGAGATCATATGGGATACTAAAGATTGAACCCAGGTCAACCATGTACTGTACTATATCTCTAGACAGCCTTAAAGTATCTGAAGGACAAATATGCCCTGGCCAGTCTGGCCTTGTTCACAGAGCGGGGACACTCCCTTTTTGTCCCCCTGCTCACGCTCTCAGCAGCACTGCAGCAAGAGGGCAACAAGCACATCTCTGCTGCTGATGAACAGATGAAAATGGAGCATGTGCTGTGCTCCAGACCCCAAGAAGCGGGCTGTGGGGCAGAAGGGACGAGAACTGCTGGGCCGTGTCCCTGTGCCCTGCCCAGGAGTGGGTGTCCAACGCGGCAGCTGAGGCCGGAAGATACTGGCTGAGTCCCAAACGGGATAGAATTTGGGCTGGACTGGGAGGAGCTTCTCAGTCCTTACATTGACAGATGGAAAATCTCTTCACAAAACTATCCCTGGCAGGTGGCTCAAATGAGGTCGGATGCTTGTTTTTGTTATTTGGGGGGGCAGGCGGCGGCACACCTATGGTGCTCGGGGGCACTCCTGGTGGTGCTCAGTCCTCATGGTACTGGAGATCAAACATAGTCCTCCTGGACGCAGAACATGCCCTCCACCCATTGAGCTGACTCCCTCGCCTCTGTCATGCTTACTTTTTAAAAATTTACTTTTGTGTGTGTGGTTTGGGGGCCACATCCAGCAATGCTCAGGGGCTGCTTCAGCTCTCTGTCCAGGGACCCATGCAGTTCCAGGGACCAAACTGGGTTTCTTACAAAGAACAGAAGGACTGGTATTCATCAGGAAACCAAAACCAGTCAAGGTGGGGGTTGGGGGGGAGACGAGAGAATAGGGTGGGGGAGCAGTGGAGGCAATACTGATAGTGGAAGGAAGCACTCAGCTGGGAGGAGGAGGTGCTGAAAGATGGTCAAGTGTTAATATATGAAACCCTGTCAGCAACGGTACTATAAACCACAGTGCTATATATAGCACTATATATATATATATATATATATATATACACACACATATATATATATAGAGAGAGAGAGGGAGAGACCACCTCTTGTAGAAACAGATTAGTGGGAGGCAAATGAGGGGGGGGCGCTTTGGGGGAGGGAAGTGGACCCCATAAAGGGATCGATATTTAAACATTGAATGCCTGAAACCCATTCATGAATAACTTCGTAGCTTCGTGGTACTAAATAAATTTTAAAAGGAAAAGGAAAACGAGGTTGTCTGCCTGTAGAGCTATTGCTCCAGCATCCATCCCACCCCCGCTTGCTTTTCTTTGGGAGAGCCACTCCTGCCAGTCCTTAGGGCTTACTCCTGGCTTGTGCTCAGGGATCACTCCTGGCAGGACTGGGAGGGGACAGCCATACGCAGTGCTGGGATTGAATCAGGGTGAGCGATGTGCAGTGCAGGTACCTTACTCCTATACTATTGCTCTAGCCCCAGTACGATTTATTTTTAAGAGGAAGTCCTTTTCTCTTGTGCTGAGGTACTAGATTTTGGGGGGCTTTCTGGGGTTTTTTGGGGGAAATTTTTTTGGCGTTTTGGGTGACATCCGGGGCAATGCTCAGGGGTTACTTCTAGTTCTGTGCCCAGGAATTACTCCTGGCAGTGCTTGCGGTACCATATAGGATGCCGGGAATCGCACCGCCTGCCAGCAAAAGTCCCACCCACTATACTATCGCTCCAGCCCCAGGTACTCGTTTTAGCAGCTTCTCTTTCTTGTCTTCTCCGGTGAGCTTTCCCAGCCTAGAATCTAGCATTTGCATGCTCGTTAGAAAGGAAATCCCCAAGAATAAGTAAGTGGGAAGAAGACCGTGAGCAGTACATTAGAGTCCAGAGAACGGAGATCTGAATACAGCTCTGCGGTTTGAGAGCTCAGTGGACTACAGCTATGCAGAAGGTTTAGGGCCCATGACCACAGTCTCTGAACACTGCCAGGAACAGCCCCGGAAGCCCCTGTCCCCCTCCCCTGCCACACACACACACACACACACACACACACACACTTACACGCATACACACTCTTCCATTAGCTTAGCTGTGTAATCACTGGCAATTGTCTTTCCCTCTCTGATCCATTTCATAGCATTGTTAGGAGATTTAAGTGAACAAGATCTTTGAAGTGTCAATTCAACAAGATATTTAAGTTGTCAAGTATCAGCTTAAAGTTGGAACTGGAACTGGAGAGCGATGCAGTGGTTAAGGCACTTGGCTTGCACATGGCTCAGTCACCGGTACCATGAATAGTCTCCTGAGCAGAGAGCCAAGAGTAACCAAGAGGAGCTTCTGAGCTACTGTCAGGTGTAGTCCAAGAGCGGAAACAAAACCAACTCAAAGTTTCTTTCTAAAGAATTTTGTGGGACCAGAGTAATAGTACAGCACGTCGGGCACTCGCCTTGTATGCTGCTGACCTGAGTTCCATCCCCGGCATCCCATAGGGTCCCCCAAGCACCGCCAGGAGTGATTCCTGAGTGCAGAGCCAGGAGTAACCCCTGAGCATTGCCGGGTAAGACCCAGAAGCAATGATAATAATAATTACTAATTTTGTGGGCTGTAGCGATAGCACAGTGGGTAAGGCGTTCGCCTTGCATGTGGCCGACCCAGTTGGCCCAGGTTCGATTCCTCCGCCCCTGTCGGAGAGCCCGGCAAGCTACCGAGAGTATCTCGCCCGCACGGCAAAGCCTGGCAAGCTACCCGTGAAGTATTAGATATGCCAAACACAGTAACAAGTCTCACAGTGTTACTGGGCCCGCTCAAGCAAATCGATGAACCGTGGGAGGACAGTGCTACAGTGCTACTAATTTTGTATTTTAGGGCCAGGGGGATACCTAAATTGGCTTAGAGCACATGCTGTGTAATGGAGGCCCAGCTTTAATTCCTGCACCTGCTTGGCCCCCTAAGCAACAAACAGACCCTGAGCACATAGCTGAGAATAGCCACTGGGTGATTTTTGGAGACTCCCCCCACCCAAAACAAAAAGAATAATTTAGTATTTAACACAAGCACACAGTCTTAGAACCTCACAGACATGTGGGCCTCAAGAAACCAAAGGGAGTGTCCAATTCCCCATTATGCCCCAAATTTCCAGGATATTAGTTCAGTTATCAATAAGCAAGCAAAGTAGGGGCAGAGCAATAGTACAGCAGGTAGGGTGTTTGCCTTGCACACAGCTGATCTGGGTTCAATTCCTGGCATCGAATATAGTTCCTCTGAGCACTGTTAGGAGTAATTCCTGAGTGCAGAGCCAGGAGTAACCCCTGAGCATAGCTGGATGTGACCAAAAAAAGTGAAAAAATATATAAAAATAGCCAAGCAAACTGGCCCCCAACCTTCACCTCGACCACCCAAACAGAATTTCAAGCTCTCCCCAGTAATTCATCTGCACCCTCGGCCTTGCTGTAGCTCCTCTCAGGCCCTTAATAACCGACTTTTAGGGACTGGGTTTCTGGGAGAGAAGTTTGAAGTCACATCCTAGACCCAATTGAGCCCAAACGCTTTTTCTTGGCAGGGGACATGAAGTGGCAGAGGCTGAATCCCACCGGGGCAGTGCCCACAGGCTGTGCTGCCCACTCGGCAGTGACTGTGGGGACTCACCTGTACATCTTTGGAGGAATGACTCCCACTGGAGCACTGGACACACTGTACCAGTATCACATCGGTGAGCACCTTTCACTGCTGACTTCGATAGGTCTCGGGAGACTGTTGCTGTCCTTTCACCAAACTTGGTCCTTCCACCCCACACTCAGGAGTGAAAACCAAGTTTGAGAGGAGCATCATCAAAGCAGTCATACTGCCATTATGTTTGGCTTTTATTCGCTGTTAAGATTTTTTTCCTTTTATCTTCTATTTTCCTTAGCACTCAGCTGGTATAGCTAATCATTCTTTTCCTTCCTCCCCCCGCTGCTTTTCCTTTTTTATTTATTTTTCTTTGGCCATACTTGACAGTGCTCAGGGGTTACTCCTGGCTCTCTACTCAGGAATCACATCCTGGTGATGCTCCGGAGATCCTTTGGGATGCTGGGGATTAAATCTGGGTTGGCTGTGTGCAAGGCAAGCACATTACCCTCTGTGCTATCACTCTGGCCCCTCCTTTTAAAAAAAAAGGGGGGGGGGGCTGGAGAGATAGCAGAGCGGGTAGGGCGTTTGCCTTGTATGCAGCCCACCCGGGTTTGATTCCCAGCACCCCATATGGTTCCCTTAGCACCTCCAGGAGTAACTCCTGAGTGCAGAGCCAAGAATAACCCCTGTGCATCACCAGGTGAGACCCAAAAAAAGCAAAAAAAAAAAGTTCATATCATTTAAGGGGGCTAGAGTGATAGTTCGGCAGGTAGGGCATTTGCCTTGACACAGTCCACCAGGGTTTGATCCCCAACATCCTATATAGCTCCTTAAGCACTGCCAGGAGTGATTCCTGAGTAGAGTCAGGAGTAACCCCTGAGCATTGCTGGATTTGGCCCCCACAAAATAAATCTATTTCAGTTTAGGCACTCTGGTTTTACAATACTGTTAATGGTAGGATTTCTTGCATAAATCACTCCCACACCACCTCCCTCACCAGAGTATCCTCTTTCCTCTGCCATTGTCCCAGTGTCCCCTGCCTTCCTGTTCTCCTCTGTCTAACCTCACTCAGCATGATACTCTTCAAATCTGGCTCTGTAGCAGCAATTACATTTTATCTTTTCTTATAGCTGAATAGTAACATAGCTTCTTTATCATCTGTTCTTGGACACAGGCTGTTTGCAGATTTTGGCTATTGTGAATAGTGCTGCAATGACTATAGGAGTGAACAGAGTTGTTAGGTCCTTGGGATCTTCTTTCTTTTTGGGGTCACATCAAGCTGTGCTCAGGGCTACTCCTGGCTCTGTGCTTGGAAGTTGCTCCTGGCAATGTTGGAGGATCATATGGGTTGCCAGGAATCAAAGCTGGGCCTGTGTGTAATTAATGCATGTACTCACCACACTCAACTCACAGTTTTTTGAGCTCTCTCTCCCACCTTCTTTTTGTTGTTGTTTGTGGTTTGGGAATCACACCTAGCGATGCCCAAGGGTTATTTCCAGCTTTGCACTCAGGAATCAATCCTGGCAGTGCTCAGGGGATCATACAGGATGTCTGAGATCCAATTTGGATCAGCTTAAGCAAGGCAAGCACCTACTTGCTCTGCTCGTCTGCCCTCTCCCACCATCTTTCTTTTTCAACATCAAATCTTCGTGAATTTGCATGTCATCCTGACACAGGGCTCATGCTGCTATTCCAAGTTTCATGTATGTGCTGCTGCAACAGTCATTCTGGACATTTCTTAATGAAGCCTTTCCTCCCCGTCCCCTTCCCCAACCTAGAAAAGCAGCACTGGACCTTGCTTAGATTTGATACTTTGCTACCTGCTGGACGCCTAGACCATTCGATGTGTATCATTCCCTGGCCAGTGATGTCTGCTGCAGAGAAAAAAACTACAAATTCTGTCTCTTTAAATGGTGATGCTAAGACGGGGAATCCCACTGACCAAGGAACAAGCGAAGGTGATGAGAGCCAGGAGAGCCAGAAGAGCCAGAATGACACACTGCTCTGTTTTGTATTTGGTGGGATGAATACAGAAGGGGAAATCTACGATGATTGTATTGTGACTATTGTGGACTAATAAAACTTTTTATTAATTTATTCTTTTTTATTTGGGGGTGAGGGTGCAATTTGGGCCCCAGATAGCAGTACTCAGAGGCTACTTCTGGTGGTGCTTAGATTATACAGTGCCAGGAATTGAACCAGGCCTTATGCAATTGAGTCTTGTGCAAGGCAAAAGCCTTACCCACTGTACTAACTATCCCGCTGGCCCTTTATTACCTTTAAACATCCATTCCATTCAAAAAAATTAAATGATCTTAGCTATTTTATAATTCCAAGATATTTTGTTTTATATATGCAAACATAAACATATATATGCAGAAAATGTTATGGTAGCCCAGGACAGAAACCTAATAAGGGTTTTTTCAGCACAACCAAGTAATTATGGTTGCTGAAGGATACTAATCCCAGGGGCTCTTGAAATAGCTAAAAGGGCTAAGTGCATGGTTTGCATGCAGGCCAGACAGTTCCTGGCACCATATGGTACCAAAAGCACTGGGCCAGGAGTAGCCTCAGAGCACTGCTAAGTGTGGTTCACAAATCAAATACAAGAATATTAATCACAGGCCAGTAAATTGGCTCAAAAGGCTAATGTGGGAGCCAGAGAAATAGTACAGCAAAAGGGTAAAGTGGTTGGTGCTCGCCTTGCAGGCAGCTGACCCAGAGTTCATCTCTGGTACCACATAAGGCCCCTGAAGACGTCAGGACTGACCCCCAAGCTGAGTCAGGAGGAAACCCTGAGCACTGCTGGGTGTGACTACAAAAAATTAAACAGTAGAGGATTGGAGGTAAAGTGCATACTTTGGGGCCAGAGCAATAGTACAGAGGGTAGGGCGTTTGCCTTGCACACAGCTGACCTGAGTTCAATCCCCAGCATTCCATATGATCCAAGTATGGCCAGGAGTAATTCCTGAGTGCAGAGCCAGGAGTAACCACTGAACATCACTGGGTGTGACCCGAAAAAGAAAAAAAACAAAACACAAAGTGCATACTTTGCTTGCCCAAAGCCTAGGTTGGAACCTGACACCACATGGTCCCAAGCACCACCCTGAGTGATCACAGACCACCAAGCCAAGAGTAGTAGCCCCTGAGCACCTCTGCGTGTAGGAGTGTGGCTCAGTGGTAAAGTGCATGCTTTGCATGCAGACAACCTGGGTTCAAGTCCCAGCAATACCCTGCAACCACACACACACACACACACACACACACTAGTGGAAAATTATGGAATAATGGAAAAGATGACTCCAAGAGCTTTGCAGGCAGGAGCTTCAGGCTTGATTCCTAAATATCACCAGATGTCCTCCCGACACCAAAAAAATAAAGGCACCCTAATCACAGCAATGGTTATCTTGGACCAAAATCCAAAACAAAAAGAAGGCTCAAGTAGTAAGAGTAAGCACATGCCTAGCAACTCCGAGGATCACCAAACTGGCTCCCACACTGCTGGATTGAATATCTTTGAAGTGGCCTTAGGTGCTCGCCACCCCACACCCCCAACAAAGTCTGTGCCTCCTTCCATAAAAGAAAGATACAGAGACAATACAGGGATTTAAAGCACTAGCCTTTTATCTGGCCAATTCCTGTTTGGTCCACAGTCAATACATGGCACTGGGCATGGCTCCATGAACTAAAAAATTCTAAACAATAAGGTTGTAGAGGGGGCTAGAGTGATAGCACAGTGGGTAGGGTGTTTGCCTTGCACACAGCCAACCCAGGTTCGATTCCCAGTATCCCCTATGGTCCCCTGACCACCACCAGGGATAATTCCTGAGTGCAAAGCCTAGAGTAATCCCTGTGCATCGCCGGATGTGACCCAAAAAAAGAAAAACAAAAAAAATTGTAGAACCACAACACTAACAAAAACCAGGGAGCACTCAAATCCTGAGCACAAAACTAAGCATAAGTCCTGAACACAGCTGAGTGTGGCCCAGAAACAAAAAAAGAAAACTCAAGCTGGTATAAAGTATTTGTAATAAAACACCACCAAGGTCATCTCCAGAAAGAATATGAAATTTCACAGAAGTTCAAGATCACACTGCTCTCAGGTGTGGTAAAATGGCCCTTATCTAAAGAAAGATCCGTAGATCAATCTCTTAAGTCTTTCCTAAAGTTAGATAAACATTAGGCAAACTCCCTGGAAGTAATGGATAGTTTTTAATCTCAACACCTGCAAACTTCTTACTCCCAAAACACATACATAGCTCAGCGGTAGTGCAGCGGTTAGGGTGCTTGCCTCCCCAAACAGATTTTTAAACAGTAGGCCTTTATCAGAAGTTATCACAAAAATTAGACCAGTTTAAATAACAAACATTTATTGGTGTCACTTTATGGTAGAAAAAAAGTTCCTACACCAGATGCACACGACCCAGTTGTTAAATAGAACATTTCCAAGAAACACATGCCCTAACCCGACATTGCTTTTTATTTTTGACCCGCTTTAAGATAGCCAATTTCTCCTCTTCCCCCCTCCCCAAGACATGTGAGCAACTGCTAACGAAAAGCAGTAAACAGCCACTTGGGCTATAGCATTTTCAACTCCACTCCAAGGTGAAGATTCCAATTACATTCGAGATTTAAGTTCTCTCAATTTTCTCCTAACGAAAGTTCCTGAGTCCAGTATTTACAATATTACACCACTAGCAGAACAGTGTCTACAACTCATCTTTTTCTGTTGGTTCCTCATCACCGGTTGGGGGAGGGCCTGCGCTTCCATAGAGTTTGCTGATAATTGGCTGAACAATTTCTTCCAGTTCCTTCTTTTTAGCTTTGAAATCTTCAATGTCAGCATCTTGGTGACTTTCCAGCCATTCAATCTTTTCCTCTACGGCTTTTTCCATGGTTTCCTTGTCTTCAGAGGAAAGCTTACCCCCCAGCTTTTCTTTATCTCCAATTTGATTCTTTAGTGAGTAGGCATAGCTTTCCAATTCATTTCTTGTATCAATGCGCTCCTTGAGCCTTTTGTCTTCCTCAGCAAACTTCTCAGCATCATTAACCATCCTTTCAATTTCTTCAGGTGTCAGCCTATTCTGGTCATTAGTGATTGTGATCTTATTTTTGTTCCCTGTGCCTTTGTCTTCAGCTGTCACTCGAAGAATGCCATTTACATCTATCTCAAAGGTGACTTCAATCTGTGGCACCCCACGGGGAGCAGGAGGAATTCCAGTCAGATCAAAAGTTCCCAGAAGGTGATTGTCTTTTGTCAGAGGTCGTTCACCTAGAAATTACACACAAACAAAATGACTGGCTGTTATAAGCACCACACCTGGATGCCTCTGGTAATATACTCTTTTGAAAGTTACAAGTAGCACAGTATGAGGCAGCAACTGGAACTAACAAGAAAGTTAAGCTACTTCAAACACTAGAACAGGGACAGTACAACAGATAGGGCATTTGCCTTGCACACAGCCTACCCAGGTTCCATCCCAGGCATCCCATATGGTCCCTTGAGCACTGCCAGGAGTAATTCCTGAGTGCAGAACCAGGAGTGACACCCCCCACACCCCCAAACAAACACCAGATCAAACTGTCACATTTTAAAAAACATTCCATGGCATAGTTAGTATATAATATAAGCCAGTTACCTTCATAGACCTTGATTGTAACAGTTGGCTGATTATCAGAAGCTGTAGAAAAGATCTGAGACTTCTTGGTGGGCACCACAGTGTTCCTTGGAATCAGCTTTGTCATGACACCTCCCACAGTTTCAATACCAAGGGTAAGGGGACACACATCAAGCAAAACCAGATCCCCTGGCAAAGGTAAATTAATCAAGTTAGAAATCAGGAATCACAGGAGCACTACCAAGCAGGGTCCCCATGGATAGGATATTAATCTTCCTGCCATATGCTTTGTTTTATGCAAAACTATTTTATATTTAATAGATGCCAAGGCTCTGAGGCCAGCACCAGGTCTTGTCCTCATTGTAACCTTATTATCTGTATGACCTTGTTGCTCCTATTTTATTGCTTTCTAAAGCAACAGTTTATTACTGTTCTCATCAAGCTACTGAAACACTACAGAAAATGCTGGCCCATTGACCTACCTGTATCCTGATCACCAGAGAGGACACCAGCCTGGACAGCAGCACCATAAGCAACAGCCTCATCTGGGTTTATGCCACGGGATGGTTCCTTGCCATTGAAGAACTCTTTAACCAGCTGTTGAATCTTTGGGATTCGAGTAGAGCCACCAACAAGAACAATTTCATCAATATCAGACTTCTTTAAATCCGAATCTTCCAGCACTTTCTGGACAGGTTTCATGGTAGAACGGAACAGGTCCTAGAATAAAAAGAATAGTTAGGATGGAGATTCTACCTAGAAGCTATCTAGTTACTTAAATGCATGGCCCCAAATTCAGAATTTGGCTTTTATTAGCAAAGCAAAAACCAAGGAACTTACCATGTTTAGCTCTTCAAATTTGGCCCGAGTCAGGGTCTCAGAGAAGTCTTCTCCTTCAAAGAAGGACTCAATTTCGATTCTTGCTTGATGCTGAGAAGACAGGGCACGCTTGGCCTTTTCTACCTCACGCCGGAGTTTCTGCACAGCTCTGTTGTCTTTCCGAACGTCTTTGCCCGTCTTCTTTTTGTAGAGCTTGATAAAGTGTTCCATCACACGCTGGTCAAAGTCTTCTCCACCCAAGTGAGTATCTCCATTAGTGGCCACAACTTCAAAGACACCATTATCAATGGTAAGAAGAGACACATCGAAGGTTCCCCCACCAAGGTCAAACACCAGGATGTTCTTCTCTCCTTCCCTCTTATCCAGGCCATAAGCAATAGCAGCTGCTGTTCTGTTTGGAAGCAAACAAAAGAAATACCCTTAGTCAAATTTACATTCTTCCTAATTGGCAAATAGGCCAGCCCCTGAATCCAGCTCTCACGGTTCATTGATGATCCTCATAACATTCAATCCAGCAATGGTTCCAGCATCTTTGGTTGCCTGGCGCTGAGCATCATTGAAATAGGCTGGTACAGTAACCACCGCATGGGTAACCTAAGAGAACAATGAGAAGTGACCA